TGTAGCTCCAAGCTGATGAGGAGCGATCGTAGATAGAGAAGAGGCGTGCCAAGGTATTAAGTAAGGGCTTAGATTTAGACGATAAGCTATATAAAGATGTGGGCTAAAGAAGACATATGGGCTAGGGAGACCAAGACTGAGCATAGGAAGTGTAAAGCTAGACTAGCGTTCGTAGCCCTTTCGGCTTGGCCGCCGGGCGTAAATAAATTGTGTGTGTGTGGCGTGCAGACCGTTGCAACCGAAGACGTGGGTTCTGTGTAGTCCAGTTTTAGTCCGCAATAAGAATGTGGGGGCGGTTTAGTCGAATAATTCGATTGGCAACCCAATCGTACTTGTGAGCTTTAACCACGTGGTAGGAAATCAGTGCAGTATTACCCAAATGGCCCGCATGAAGATAGTCAATCAATACCTCAAGCGGTAATACAGCGATACCACCACGTTGTGAAAACGGCCCTTATTGTTGCTAATTGTTTGAGGATTCGATGCGGAGACCCCAGCAAGCAATTCGCAGGGTTTTTGCCTATCCATGCAAACCACGTCCTACACAGTAGTTTTAGCATGTTGAGATCGGATGTCTACATCCATTCCTTGTTTCTGCAACCGATCATGGTCATACGATGTAAATCAGATTCTCCGGATACCTTCTTCATCAATATAGTCATTGTACGATTACCAACAATCAGTATTCTCACTTTGTGTTTGTTAACTTACAAGTCATCGACGGATTCGTTCAGAAGTCTGTGATACCACATCGAAGATGGATAGCGAATACGAGAACAAAACCCTTACCTCATTAGGCGAGTCCATCCGTTTAGAGCTTCAGCAGAGGCTCTCAAGCAAAGCAGAAATATACCTGCCGTTCGATGCAGATACATCGCAGTTTGAAAATGCTAATTTGCGTTTCACTCAGTATTCGCGTCCTACATACCTCGCCATTGTCAATCCAGGTTGTCAAGATGACGTGGTCCAGGTTGTCAAGTACGCTCGAGAAAAGAATATTCCATTCACACCTCGAGGCGGCCATCATGCTGTCACCAGTACTATGAGGAATTTCAAGAACGGGATATGCATAAATATGCGACCACTCAACCAGATGCAATGGAACGCGGAGAAGCGACACGTCACTATCGAGGGAGGCGCAATAACGGATGAGTTTGTAAGATACCTGTATAGTTTGGGTATGGAAGTCAGTAAGTACGGTAAGCCATTTAGGTTTGGAATCATGACTGACAGCATGTAAAGATGTCGGGTCATGTCCTACTACTGGTGTGATCGGTGTAGCCTTTGGTGCCGGTCTAGGACGTTTGCAGGGCAAGTACGGCTTTCTACATGACAACATGGTCTCTTGCAAACTTGTACTCGCCGACGGCAGTGTGGTAATAGCTTCAGAAACTTCGCATCCAGATTTGTTCTGGGGTATCAGAGGAGCAGGCCACAACTTTGGAATCGCACTCGAGGCTACGTTTCAAGCCTACCCACAAGCACACGGAGGCATACATCACACATGGGACTTTGAGTACACCCTAGATCAGTGTGATGAAGTGTTCCGAACACTAAATAGTGTATCTGAGATCATGCCTGCTGAATTGGCAATCTTTATTTTATGGCTACGACAGAGTGATGGTCGCAAGGTATTTAGTCTCATCTCTCACATTTAAGGGTCTTGCTAAGATTTGGCAGCACATCATCCTTGTTAATTTGGTATGGTCTGGACCATTGACAAGCGCAGACACTTACACGAAACTCTTCGAGAACTTGGACCCTGTTCTCCACAGTGGGCCAAAATCTGTGCCCTGGCCGGAATTGCCATTCTCCACGTACAAGGAGATGAACAAACTTTACTGCAAGACGGAAGTTTGGCTTTTGGCCCCTAACAAGATGATGGGCGCAGCTTGTGTGAAGTCATTTGACCTGAAGACCACACGCGAGTTTTTTGAGAGTGTTAAAGCCATGAGCGAACAGTGGGAAGGACGGGGCTGGTTTAGCGCAATGTTCGAATGTTTGCCAGACCAGCGTGTGCGAGAGATATCTCATGATGCGACAGCGTTCCCTTGGCGTGGAGGATCAAACCACTTCCTGTAAGTCGACTGCTTTCATTTGTAGTCAAACCGATGGCTAACATGAGATATCAGGATGTTAAACGCTACACCAGCACGGGTAGAGGATCGACCAGCATTCGAGAGCCATCTTGACCACTGGAAACAACGCTTCATAGACACGTCTGGGTACGGCCGCTTGCAGCAATATGTTAACTATGGGAACAGCACGGCCACCATGAAAGATCCTCTAGAGGCACTATATGGCTATGAGCCCTGGAGGCTGGAGAGACTCAGGTCACTCAAACAAAGGTATGATCCAGACAACCAGTTTAGATGGTATCAACCAATTATTGATGCATGATGAGTATCCGGGTTTCGTACTGTTGCTATCACGGAGTATGAAGTTTACAACATGGGTAACTCAGAATACTCAGAGAAGACAATGGCAGTTTGTTGACAGTAGAAATATCATATTTGATCTTACGCTGCGCCATTTCTGTCGGAAATCACCGTCTCGAAATCTGATACGATAGAGATATGATCGCATCTGGAAGGAAAAGTAAAGCTCCCAACATACATATAGTGACTTATAAGATACTACCAGCAGCTCGGTTCAATTCAAATATCTACGAGCTGATTGCGGCTATAGTGTCAATTGAAATTGGTGTAACGCAGCGATTCATGTTAAGTTTGATTTGCTTAGAAGCTACAAATGTGCCCTTACTTGATTATGAACTTGGCCCCGGGAGCAAGGGTCAGATGTGTGCGATTTATGCAGCCGATTTTGAGAATTTTCCGAAATAAGGGCCTTCAGTGGTCTGAGATAACCTTGTTCAGGGTGGGGGTGACGGAGGTAACATTTATGACACTAATGTTCTGATACGGTCTTTATCGCTTCATCGTCGGGAAAGGCCGTCCCGAGACTGTCTTTGACTGGCAGTATAGTACATCCAATGGGAGTCGAATTCAGTAATTCTATGTGTCAATAGGAAAACACAGCTCCAGAATCACTCCTCTTATCTTTGGCTTAAGGGACTCGTATTCGTGAGTTGCAAAATTGGTACACACTCCAAAACCACGCAAGTCTGATACCATGACTCGCAGTAGCCGACTATCGATGTGGCAATGTGGAGTAGTTCGAAAAAGGAAACTCATATGAAAGCTTCAGCTCTATAACCGGAGAACCCACTTTGTACGGGTTCTGTGAATGCGGAGAACGTGATCCATACGGACATATAGCCCGACACCCATGCTATCCTGCGTGCTCAAACCATGAGATCGTATTGGATAGTTTCAGTGTATTCAGTTCACCGACACCATCTCCTCTTTAAATATTCATGAAATAACGGTTTAGTTGGCACGGCAGCCGATTGACACTAGGGCAGCACGTGAACTCAGTTGGATGAACATGGATTGAAGACCTGATAATTATATTTAAAGCAACTCCACCACATTCAATTGCAAACATCAGATTCTTCTCGAAACATCACTTCTCCAAGTGGCCTCGTACAACACGAATTGCTTTTTGTTAAGCAAGCCGCAACTTCTTCATTTATTATAATCATCGAAATGAACAGGCCAATTGCCATTATCGGAATTGCCTTTAGGGGTCCTGGTGATGCTCGGGACCCCGAGGCTTTCTATCGTATGCTCGTTGAGGGCTGCAGTGCACGAACTGAGATCCCAAAAGATCGTTACAACGTCGATGCATTCTATCACCCTGACTCAGAGCGGTTAGGCAGCATCCAACAAAGGTTTCTCAGCTGTATTCCTCAACGATATACAGTATCAACTGACTCTATTTTACAACAGACATGCTCACTTTATACAACAAGACTTCAAATCATTTGATGCACCCTTCTTCAGTATCACACCAAAAGAGGCCAAAGCCATGGATCCGACACACCGCATCCTCCTGGAAGCCACCTATGAAGGCTTCGAAAATGCAGGCCTGAGTCTAGACCAGGTGTCTGGAACTCAGACTTCGTGCTACATCGGAACTTTCACAGCTGATTTTCCGAATTTGCAAGCTCGCGACAATGAGGGCCCTTCAATCTACCATGCAACTGGCATGTCATCATCTTTGGCTTCCAATAGGTTGTCGTGGTTCTACAATTTGAGAGGGCCTTCCCTCACAGTTGATACGGCTTGCTCATCCAGTCTCACTGCATTTCATTTAGCATGTCAAAGTCTTCGTACAGGAGAGGCTGAGATGAGTGTTGTCGGCGGAGCCAATCTTATGTTTGGGCCTGATATGTCTATTCTTTTAGGAGCAGCCAAGATTCTGTCGCCTGAAGGAAAGAGTAAGATGTGGGATGCAAATGCAGACGGCTTTGCCCGTGGAGAAGGCTTTGGTGTGACAATATTGAAGGTCTGAAATCCCCAGGGCGAGACCTGTTGTAGTATGAAGACCAAGACTAATGTCACGTGATATACAGCCTCTAGATACAGCTCTACGCGATGGCGATACTATCCGAGCGGTCGTCCTGGCTACAGCCACTAACGAAGATGGCCATACACCTGGAATCTCACTACCTAACAGTGAAGCGCAACAAGACTTGATCCGCAGGGCGTATCAAATGGCTGGGGTAGATCCAGCAGAGACAGGCTATGTCGAAGCTCATGGAACCGGAACGATGGCAGGTGACCCATTGGAAGCCAAGGCTATCTTAAAGACCGTCGGATCAGTCAAAGGCCGCAAATCAAGTCTTTATGTTGGATCCGTAAAGACAAACATCGGCCATCTTGAAGGTGCAGCTGGTGTAGCTGGTGTCATAAAAGCTGCACTAGCCGTAGAGCGAGGTCTCATACCTCAAAATCTTTGGTGAGTAGGCTGATATGGTTTTCCACTCTCGTATACTGACCGTGAACAGGTTTGAAAAGCTAAATCCTGAGATCAATCTACCGGAAAATGTCGAAATACCATTGAAGCTTACACCGTGGCCATCTGATGGACCACGTCGTGCGAGTATCAATAGCTTTGGTTTTGGCGGCGCCAACGCTCACGTCATTCTTGAGGACGCAGCATCGTTCTTGTCACGTCATGGTCTGAAGGGTCGGCATGCAACAGCACCGCATCCTTATATCACTATGAGCGAAAGCTACTCCGATGGCACCTCCAGTAGATCGTCAAGTTCAATCGCCGACGAGAATTCAAGTGGCGGCTCGAGCGATGCTGCAAGTGATATATCCAGCGAAATCTTGCACGACCTACCACCTACACCAAAGCTATTTATAATTTCTGCCAACGACCAAGAGGGGGTGCGGCGTAATGTCGAGCGGTTGCAACATTATCTCTCCGCGAAGACTGCTGCTACTCCCACATTTCTTAGCGACTTAGCATTTACACTAAGCGCCAAACGAAGTCTATTTCCATGGAAATCATATGCCGTCTCATCGAAGGTCTCCGAATTGAATGAGAGGTTGTCCAGCCTTGCACCCGTGGTTCGCTCTTCCAGTTCTGCAATCCCACGCATTGCCTTTGTGTTCACTGGTCAAGGCGCACAGTGGCATGCAATGGGCAAAGGGCTATCAATTCATCCAGCATATTTTGAAAGTATGCAGAGATCTGAGACCCTACTCAAATCTTTTGGTTGCCCATGGAGCCTCAATGAGGAACTGAGCCGGACGGAGGCTGAGTGCAAGTTGCGGGAGACTGACTACAGCCAGCCAGTATGTACCGCTATCCAGGTTGCACTAGTAGACTTGTTGAGAGATTTTGGAGTAAATCCCATTGCAGTTGTAGGTCATTCGAGTGGCGAGATCGCTGCTGCATATGCCGCTGGCTTCATCGATCAAGAGGCTGCGATCAAGATTGCGTGGCTGAGAGGCCAAGTCAGTAAAACTGTGCCCACCAACGGCGGTATGTTGGCAGTCTCTGCCAGCGCCGAGAGCGTACAAACCTACATTGATGGCCTGAAAAACGGTAGAGCGGTTGTTGGATGCTTCAACTCTACCAAAGCCTGCACCATCACCGGCGATGATTCAGCCATCAGCGAGCTACAAAGCATACTGAAAGACGCGCAAATACCATGCACCCGGCTACCTATAGATATTGCGTACCATTCGTTCCATATGGAAGTAGCACGCGAAGTATATGAAAGAGCTTTAGAGGGCATTGCGCACGGCTCGACATCAACTATTCCTATGTTCTCTTCAGTCTCAGGCACACTTGTTACACCCGGAATGATGAAACCATCTTACTGGGTTGACAACCTAGTATCTCCTGTCGATTTCGTCACGGCCACAAAGTGTCTACTGAACCATCCACTTGAGAGTAAATCGCGCAAAGCCTTCGCCAACGTCTTCGTCGAGCTGGGCCCGCACTCAGCATTGCGCAGCTACTTGCTAGATATTTCCGGCAGTGAGAAGATTGCCACAGATCTTACCTACACAAATATCCTCCGCCGCAATTTTAATGGCGCTACCACTGCGCTGGAAGCCATGGGCCATCTGTGGTCACAAGGATACCCCGTCGATCTGAACAAGATCAATGGTGTACGACTCGAAGATGCCAACATGCTAGTTGATCTGCCTCCTTATGCTTGGAACCATAAGCCATACTGGAATGAATCACATCTAAGCCGACAGTATCGCCTTCGTGAAAAGCCACGCACCGACCTCCTAGGTTATCGACTTCCCGGAGCGCCCGAACACGCATGGCGCAACTTCTTGCGATGCAACGAAAACCCATGGATTCGTGAGCACAAAGTCCAGGGCGACATCCTCTACCCTGGTGCAGGTATGCTCGTGATGGCTATTGAGGCTGCGTACCAAATAGCCCAAGAAACTGCTGTTGATGAGGTACATGGCTTCGAATTGCGCGACGTCAGTATCGATACTGCTCTTCGTGTGCCGGACACAGAGATGGGTATTGAAGTCATGACACAGCTGCACAATCGCCGTACAGGAACACGGGCAGCGCCATCATCTACACTTTACGAATTCACAATCTCTTCGTGGAACGAAGAAATGTCTTCCTGGAGTGCTCATGCACGAGGTCTGATCTCAATCACCTACAAGACTTTCTCCACTGCGATGGAGAGCGAGCTGACTCTTGAGAACGTGCGCTATATGACGTCGATGGTTGAAGCCCGAAAGGCGTGCCAGAAGCCAGCGAGAAGCTTCCTTTACGATACAGTCGAGACGATCGGTATGCAGTACGGTCCAACTTTCCGCAACATGACCGAGCTTTATGCTGGCCTGAATGCCAGTTATGGAGTCATCAAAGTGCCTGATACCAAGGCAGTTATGCCCAAGGGCTACGAGTTCCCTCATGTCATTCATCCTGCCACGCTGGACTCAGTGCTTCACTTACTGTTTCCAAGCATCTCTGGAAAGGAGCAAGCACTCAGAGAAGCAGTAGTGCCGAGGTCCTTTGATCGCATTTTCATTTCAGCCAACACTCCGAAGGTGGCGGGTACCGAGCTTCACGGTTGTTCAACAGCAAAGAAGCTAAGCTATACGACATGGAATGCCGACATCATCATATCCGAATCAAGCATGTTGGAGCCTATCATCGTCATGGAGGGTTTAGTACTCGCATCTGTTGGCTCCACCGAAGATATGTCGAAGCGACTGGAAACACGCGCATCATGCTTTGCACAGAACTGGCATATGGATGCTGACTTGCTGACTCCATCACAAATCAAAGGAACAATCTACAAGCGAACTTTGAAGAGCAAGGACGATGATTCGGTGCTCGATCTTCTAGAATTCATTTGCCTGGTATACATCTACCGCGTCCTCGATTGGTTTGAGAGTGAACAGGGCAAAGCACACGAGCCACAAGATGGCTTTTGGAAGCTGTACGTGGATTGGATGCATGACCAGGTTAAGCAATTCCCTCCGCTACCTGCAGACGTCGAAGGTGAGATGCAACGGGCCCGCGAGCGCATCGGAAGATCAGAGAGTGGCGATATCACGGTGCAAATGGTGGACCGCATCGGACAAAACCTTTCTCGCATCTTCACACACGAGGTCGAAGCTTTGCAATGCATGACTGAAGGTGATCTCCTCTACGCCTTCTACCGGGGTGCATTCGGCACAAGCTTCAACACCAATGTTGCTGAATACGTTGGCCTGCTAGCTGATAAGCGACCTGGACTGCGCATCTTGGAAATTGGTGCGGGAACAGGCGGTACCACGTATCATGTCTTGGAACGTCTGCGCAATCCTGACGGCAGCTCCAAAGCAGCCCAGTATTACTTCACAGACATCTCTCCCGGGTTCCTTGCCAAAGCAGCCGACCGATTCGATAAAGACGCTTCCATCATGCAGTTTGGTACACTCAACATTGAAAACCCACCGACAGAGCAAGGATTCAGCACTGAGTCGTTCGACCTTATCGTATGTGCCAATGTGCTTCACGCAACCAAGAGCACTCAAGAAACGTTGGAACACTGCAAGTCGCTCCTGAAGCCTGGAGGTCATCTCGTCCTGTCCGAGGTAACCATCAAGCGCATCTTCTCGGGCTTCATCATGGGTCCTTTGCCTGGATGGTGGTTAGGAGAAGCCGATGGTCGGAAGGGAGGTCCGCTCCTCGATGCCGAAGAATGGAACGTCGCATTGAAATCGGCTGGATTCTCCGGTGTCGATGTTGATGTTCGCGGCGATAGAGATACTTCCAAAGAACCTGTTTCGCTGATCATCTCAACAAAGCCGGAAACTTCAGTCGCATCTCTGCCTCCTTGCCTTATCATCACCACTGGCACCGAAGTATCTCAAAAGCTTGCCAACCATATGAAAGAGGCGTTCACTTCGTCTGATCATGAAGTTGACATTGCTCAGTGGGGAATTATTACGAGGACAAGCGTAGCTGGGAAGTACTGCCTCTGCCTTGCGGAGTGGGAGAATCCTGTACTAGCCAATCTCACAGACGACGACTGGGAAAGAGTTCGCGAGGTTATTCTTTCCTCTGAGGGATCCCTTTGGATCACTGGTGGCGGTGCTCTCGATACCACGCACCCTCTTAACAGCCTCATGGTCGGACTAGCGAGGGCTATCCGCAATGAGAATGCCGGTGTAAGCCTTGCATGTCTCGATCTAGAGGCGCCCTCAACTATCGACTTTGAAAAGGCATCTCGGACTATACTGAAGGTTGCCGAGGCACATGTCCGAAGCGACGGTACGGAGGGTGAGTTCGCTGCACGCGGTGAAACTGTCTTTATTCCCCGTGTGGAGCGAACACTGGAAATGGATGCATCACTGCGCAAATACGAAGCAAAGGGAGATCCCGAGATGGTTTCTTTCATGGGATGCGGTCGCCCCCTCAAATTGACTATCAAGACACCTGGGCTGCTTGACACATTCCAGTGGGAAGAAGATGAGACGTATCACACGCCTCTGCCCGATGATTGGATCGAGATCGAGGTGAAGGCAGTCGGCCTAAACTTCAAGGATGTGCTCGTTGCGCTGGGTAACCTGGCCGAGAACAAACTGGGCGTCGACGCTTCGGGAGTCGTCACTCGCGTCGGATCGGCTGTCACAGATCTCAAGGTAGGAGATAAGGTCATGACAGCATCGTGCGATACCTTTGCCACCTACGTCCGCTTCCCTGCCAAGGGCGCGATTCCCGTACCCTCTGGCATGAGCTTCGAGGAAGCCGCGTCGATGCCTCTCATTTTCTTGACAGCCTATTACTCGTTGGTTACTGCGGGTGGTATTGTGGCTGGCGAGACAATTTTGATCCATGCTGCTGCTGGCGGTGTTGGACAAGCAGCCATCATGATTGCACAAGCCAAGGGTGCTGAGGTCTTTGCAACAGTCGGCGCGTACAGCAAGAAACAACTCCTCATGGAACAGTATGGCATCCCCGAAGACCACATTTTCAGCAGTCGCGATACCAGCTTCGTCAAAGCAGTACTGCGTGCTACGAATGGTCGCGGCGTTGATTTGGTACTGAATTCATTGGCCGGCGAAGCCCTGCGCCTGTCGTGGACTGACTGCCTGGCAAACTTCGGTCGATTTCTGGAGATTGGAAAGGCAGACTTGTTCGCCAACACCGGACTTGACATGAAGCCACTCTTGGACAACAAGAGCTATATTGGTGTAAACCTTCTCGAGTTTGAGAACAATCCAACGCCTCGAGCAATTGCGCTATGGAATGACACGGCGAAGCTGATTCAAGAGAGGTCCATTAAGCCTATTTCGCCGCTCCAGATCTTCACCATGTCTGAGGTGGAGAAAGCTTTCCGCCACATGCAGGCAGGAAAGCACATGGGCAAGGTTGTTGTTCGTGTCGACAAGGCAGATGTCGTTCGTGCCGTGCCACGCATCCCACGCATTCGCATACACTCTGCTGGTACCTACATCATTGCCGGCTTAGGCGGCATCACGCGTGAGATTGCACGCTGGCTCGCTGAAAAGGGCGCACAACATCTGGTTTTCCTTTCTCGCTCTGCAGCCAGTGGGGTGGACAATCAAGCCTTCGCCTCGCAGCTTAGGAATACGTACAACGCCAACGTCTTGGCCTATGATTGTGACGTTGCCAACAAAGCAGCTTTGCAAAGAGTCCTCGATGACTTGAAGGCTAAGGGATTGCCACCCATCAAAGGATGTGCAACTGGCGCCATGGTGTTGCAAGACACCCTCTTTGACAAGATGACCGCCGATAACGTCCGCACAACAGTCGGCCCCAAGGTTCACGGTACTTGGAACCTACACGAACTTCTGCCGCGCGATATGGACTTCTTCGTGATGTTGTCCTCATTGGCTGGCGTCATGGGCCATCGCGGACAGGGTAACTATGGGTGCGGTAATAACTTCCAGGACGAGTTTGCCACATTCAGGCGAGGTCTGGGACTCCCTGCCACGACCATCGATATAGGATACCTCTTGTCGGTGGGATTTGTTGCTGAACATGATGAATACGTCGACCACGTCAAAGCAATGGGACTCAAGGTCATGCAAACGTCCGACTTGCATGGACTGCTAGCAACAGCCATCGAAGGCCCTTCCAAGCACCCGGGCCAGGTCATGTGCGGTCTGCCGTTCAATGAGCATGACGATGCATGGTACTGGATATGCGATGCTCGATTCGGTGCTCTGCGAAACCTCGCCGCTGGAACTTCGGCCAACAAGGGGCAAGTTGTCTCGCTGCGTGAAGAGTTGATCCGATGTGGCACCATCAGCGAAGAAGCTGTTCAGATTATCACAAAAGCTATGGTGCAGAGACTAGCAAGTTTGATGATGACACCCGAGGAGGACATTGATGCGGGTAAGCCGCTGAGCGCGTATGGTGTTGATAGTCTTGTGGCTGTCGAGGTGAGGAACTGGATCGCCCGCGAGATGGCTGTTGAGTGCTCCGTTTTCGACATTATGCAAAATATTCCAATGACGCAGCTGGCCTGCAATTTGGCGGAGAAGAGTAAGCTACTCGTTGAGCGAGCCTGAAATTTGGGATAGATGAGCTTGGTCGGCGTGTCGGCAAAAGCACACAGCTGCGCAATAGAAATTGAAATTAGACATTATGCATTATATCTTTTGTCTGTCTCCTTCGTACAATCTTTAAGTAGCAACATCTACGGCTGATGATTTCCTTTTGATACAATGGCGCTGCTTCGTTGCAATGATGATGATGAAGAAGAACGAGCATAGAGAGCGTGGGCTGGACGTAGAGGTAGAGAGCAGGTCCACACAAAGTGTGGCCATAAGGCAAAGTGTAGTTTCTAGGAACCAAATAGGTCTAATGTAAAATATTTTGTTTGTATATGAAGTCTATGGTGAGGGACTGTAGAAGGTGCAGCCTTCAGTACTACCCGAGGCACCACCGGTGTGGCGGTGCCTACCCAATGTAGCTTAGCGCGAATAGCAGAAAGCTGGATCTCCATGAGATATCCGCGATCAATCTTACTATACACTTTGTACCAAAATCACCATTATTTCATAGGAGATATACATTCAGCCGGACGTTATTTTTAATTGTTGAAAAATACTGCTCTCTCGTATGGAGAATGTAGTTCCACATCGCTATACCCATTGAGGCACTACAAAAACCGCATGTGATATATACTAGTCCCTCTTAAAGTTAACCAAATTCTATAGGGTCAATATCAACCTTGATCTCTAGTTAATTATGGAAGATTCTCGCGACACGGTATCTACACAACGATCGATTCAAGAAGTGCCTGATGTGAGTGCAATCACAACTACCAATTAGACAGTTGCCCATTATACCGAGTCGTCCGCTAGCGCAAGACCATACGAGGATATAATTGTTAGCCGACAACTTTATTTCGAGCACCACTAAACGTTAACATCGTTGTACATGCTTGGCAATAAATGGTCACTTGACTTGGTCGTGTACCTTCACGAGGTCGCATGATGAACAGTCGTATCCAGAATACGACATGCGCATGCAGTATACATCCACATGTGGATAGATGGGCATCTCACGATATCATATGGTGCCATGTCAAAATGTAAATTTAGCAAGTCACCTCACCATGGATATTAACAAGTCGGCGGACGCAGCGTTAATTTTATCCGACCAAAGGCCCGGAAGGGGAAGGAGGATGGTAATCAATAATGAAAAGTGGACACGACCCGCGATCTCCATGCTAGTGTTCCTATCTCTCCACACCCACGGAGCACATAAGGGAACCTCGCCGTACCAGGGCCCCTAGTTATACGAAGTGAGCATGATTCTCGTCGCATCTATACCGCTTGTCCGGCAGCCGTGTCCCCGCTACGGGCTTGGTGTTTATACGTACAAATACAAGATGCATCCGAGTATGCCTTGACCCTCATCCACGTTCTCAGAGATGGGCAAATTACATTGTGCCATTGCGGCCCTTGTGCTGGGTGCGCCAGTCGCCATCTCAACATCGGTACATGCCCGCCTCCCGACCAATGCCATTGTGCAACGAGCGGCAAACGACACGCCCGTCGCCAGCGGCATTTTGCCTGGTTCCTACATTGTCGAGTTTGCAAATGACAGCGAGACACCGGAAAGCTTCTACGCCTCTCTTGCGGCAGTCGGGGTGGAAGTCGAGCCTCGCAAGGACCTCAGCTTCCGATTCTTCAACGGTGTCTCATTCCAGCTCAAGAACCTGAGCTCAAGCGCCGGCTCAGATTCCAACGGTGGGGACTTGATGCATCGGATGAAGGGCCTGCCACAAGTAGAGAACATATGGCCAATCCGCATCACGACCCGTTCGCCCGAAAAGAGTGTTGCCCTACCTGCTCAGCCGCAACGCATCAAGCGGCAGGAGGCATCCCACGATACTTTTTCCACCCATGTCATGACCCAGGTTGACAAGCTGCACGCAGAGGGTTTGACAGGCAAAGGCTTCCTCATCTCAATTGTTGACAGCGGCGTCGACTACACACATGTCGCCCTGGGCGGCTGTTTTGGAAAAGGCTGTTTGGTCGAAGTTGGGTACGATTTCGTAGGCGACAACTACACCCCTGGCAAAAACGAGCCAGTGCCAGACGACGATCCCATGGACAACTGCGTCGGACATGGCACGCACGTTGCCGGCACTATCGCCGCTCAGCTCAAGGGCAACGAATATGGCTTTACTGGCTCTGCCCCTGGTGTAAGGCTGGGAGCATACCGAATGTGGGGATGTTCAGCTACGTCGATAAACGAGATCGAGGTCCTCGCATTCGCCCGTGCCGTGGAAGATGGAGCCAACATCATCTCCTACTCCAACGGCGATGCCTCGGGCTGGGCACAAGATGTACGTGCCGTCATCATTTCGCGCATTGTCGATTCCGGTATCCCTGTTGTGGTGTCTGCAGGCAACGATGGTGGGCAGGGTATATTTTACGGCTCCACGCCAGCAACGGGCTTCAGCGCCACAGGCACGGGAGCGGTATCCAATACAAAAACCCCCTCATTTCTCGAGCGAGGGTCCTACAAGACGAACGCCAATGCTACTGGCAACAGTACGCACGATTTTGGCTTCTTGAGGGGTGTGCCAGAACTCGCCGCCGGTGCGACACTCCAGCTTTGGTCTGCTGCCAATGCCGACGACGCCTGCAAACCGCTGCCCGATGATACACCAGATCTGAGCCAACGCATCGTCCTTTTGAAATTCAAGGATGCTCGCGCGACGCAATGTTACCCGCAAGACCAGGGTGCTAATATCGCTGCAAAGGGCGGGCGCTTCATGGCGTACTATGAGCACTCCAACCTGACGATGCGCGACGAGCCATTTGTATACGCTGATGGCATTCAGGGCGTCATCAGGGTCGCCCCGTATGCTGCCGAAGAGTGGCTTTCCCTTCTTTCACAAGGTGCTACCGTCTCCTTAACTATCCCGTCCAACGGATCCCAGATATACCTCGAGGATCTTGAGAATAATGAGAGTGGTGGGTACGTCGCAGATAGTCTGACAAGCTGGGGCCCGACCTGGGAGCTCAGCATGAATCCAGAGGTTGTATCGCCCGGAGAGAATATTCTGAGCACATTTCCAACTGCCCTGGGTAGCTATCGTGTCATGACTGGCACCAGTATGTCAGCTCCTCTAGTCGCAGGCGTTTACGCACTGCTCGGTGAGGTATACGGCAAGCTGGAACCGAAGCGCCTTCGCAGACTCTTGATGCACACCTCAAAGCCACTTGCCTGGTACCATGACAACACTGTCCATCCCGACATCCTTGCTCCTGTCCCACAACAAGGCGCTGGGCTTGTACAAGCCTGGGATGCTGCACACACTACTCTCGAGATCGACATCGACAGCATAGCACTCAACGATACGGAGCACTTCGTAGGCACTCACACCTTCAGCGTCATCAACACCGGCACTACAGACGAGGTTCTCGAGTTGAGCCATCGCAAAGCTGTCACAATAAACACAATGGATCCAAAGGGCTTCTTCTTCCGCCCAGGCTTGATTTCCAACTCCATCGTAAACGCATGGGCCACTGTTTCCTTCTCATCCGACCGCATCACTGTTCCCGCTGGCCAGTCCGTCAAGGTGACCGTCGACATCACGCCACCTGGAGGCGTCAACGCGACTTTGCTGCCCGTCTACAGTGGCTTCATCGCCATCGGCAACAAACTTCACCTCCCGTACCTCGGCGTCGTAGGCAGCATGCGCAAGGCCACTGTTTTCCCGCCTGAAACCGCCTACCTCGCAGAAGGATACGCATCGGCACCTGCAAATGCCTCTTACACTATCCCACGCCCTGATCCCCAGAATCCGCCCTGGACCGACCGAGGTGACTACTACAACTCGCCCAACGTGTACATGTTTCCTTCAGTTGGCTCGCCTTTGCTACGTGTAGACGTGCTGCAAGGCAACAAGACACTCGGACCGTTGGCTGGATTCCCGCTAACGTACATCTCGAGGAGGGAGACACGTGCGTACTTCAACGGGCTGTTGGCCGACGGGACAGTCCTAGAAGAAGGAACGTACCGTATGAAAGTTATGGCACTGCATATTTTTGGTAATGAGGATAATGTGGAGGATTGGGATATCGTTGAGACGAGCAGTTTTACGTTCAAGTACTCAACCTGAACCGAGGTATCTTATACTTAAACTTAATAGTTCAATAACCTTAGTTTGATCGCTGTATATCTCAAAGTACGAAGACATATAACGATGATGATAACACATTTGGCGTTGCATATAACGATGAGAAGCTTCATTCCTAGTCAACTCCACACTTCTCGTCGCCCACTCGTTTACAAATCACGGTACTGCTTTTTGACTCGTGATGACACCGGAATCCGCATCTTCCCCTCCTCGTCCCTGGCCCATACCCATTCAACGCCCCCTCAACCGCCACTCGATCTCATTCGACAAACACGGTCTCCCTCATCGACTCGTATCGTAGTGGAGGTAGGGGTCGATGGTGTTCATGTTAGTGGAGGAATTGATGTTATGGTGCTTGGAACCCCAGATGGTATTTTCGATGTCTAGTAAGTAAGCGATGGAAAGGTAAGGTGACTAAGTATCCTTGGCATGCTAGGTGTTGTCGACGATGTAATATATATCGCGTTTGAGCCGGTGATTTATTCGTGGGTATCTGCGGGGTTGTGACACATCATGCTGTTTGGAGATCTTTTCTCTTAGCCTTAGCGGTTTGGTCTTCATGCACTGCCAACTAAAACTATGAATGCTTGGAAGAGATATGATAGGATATATTCAAGTATCACCGACCTAGCTACTCCGTCGATACGTTTTCGTTAAAGTCAGAAATTACAAAATGTTAAATGTTTGAGGGAAATGGCTTTCTCAGAATGAATGAAGAAATATTCACCTTCTTGACATTCGCAGATATTGATATCATCAACGATTTCAATCGAGTTCTTGGAAGAACTAAAATAACAATTAATCTTTTTGAATAAGTACAGCTTATAAATTACCTTTTAGCATTAGATGGTGTTGTGTCTATCGATTGAAGGTAGAGGGGTGAGCGAGGTAGAGCGGAATGTTAAATCCAGGCAATCCGTTACGAGATGCCTGTGGCTCTGCATACTGTCCTACGCACACATTGCCTGAAGGTGCTTACCACACTCAAACCTTTATTAGCTTCCTAAGATATTGAACATGATAAGGAATAACATTGCTTAATCTAGTTCATGAAAGATTTCGAATTCTAATTGCTACGCAACATAGACAGAAACGGCGAAAAACATGGCGCCTCCCTTCAAGGTGCTAATTGTGGGTGGAGGGGTCGCAGGGCTGACGCTAGCAATAATGCTCGAGTTATATGGATTTGAATACGAATTGCTTGAGAAGCATCCCAACGTCGCCCCCAAACTGGGAGCAGGAGTGGGTATCACTCCCAACGGGGCGCGCATACTAGACCAGATAGATGTTTGGGATTCTATGTGCGAGTATGCATCTCCTGTGAATTCTGGCGTGGCGCTTTCCCCAAAGGGGCAAACCGTCATTTTCAATCCGCACATGGGAGAGTGGCTGGAGAAGCTGTATGTACCAGGTCCTTATTCGCTATGTCTCTACTCTCATGCCAGAAGCAACCTGCTGATATTTTTCTGCTATCACATATAGCTTTGGCTACAAAATCCACTTCCTGTCGCGTCACGACTGTCTCCGCATCCTATTTGACAAGATCAAGCAAAAGTCCAACATCCACCTACAAAAAGAAGTGACCCGGATCAGCGTCGGCCAACCTGGAGAAAGGGCACGAGTAGAGACCAAAGATGGCTCAATATACACCGCAGATTTAGTCATTGGTGCAGACGGTGTTAGGAGTGGCGTGAGGAGTGAGCTCTGGCGTCATGCTGATATAGAGAAGCCTGGCTACATCCCCAAGCAGGACAAGACGGGTATGCAGACCGAGACCCTTCGCATTGGTCTTGAAGATAGTCTAACCACATCATGTAGGCATTGTGTCCCTGTACACAGCTGTGATTGGCATATCTCATGATCCAGGACTGCCCCGAGGCGGAAATGCGCGAGCGTACAACCATCTACGGTCCTACTTCTTCTCAGAAGGTATGGAACGCTCAGGAGAGTTCTACTGGTGGCTATGCGTCAAGAACGAGGAGCCGATCAAAGGGATCGTCCCCAAGCTCTCCTCTGACACGAAGCAGGCTCTGCTAGACAAGTATGCAGACGATAACATAGGGCACGGCCTGACTCTGGGAGGGCTGCACAAGAAATCTACCTATTCTACCATCATCCCATTGCAGGAATTTGTTCTAGAAAAGTGCTTCTATAAGAACATTCTCCTCATCGGCGACGCCTTCCGGAAGCTGCACCCCGTAGCTGGCCAAGGAGCGAACTCGGCCGTAGAGGAGAGCGCTATGGTGGCAGACATGCTATGGAAACTCCGAGAAAACGACACTCTACACGATACACTCCGTTTCAACCAAGCATTGACCGAGTTTCAGAAGGAGAGGTTTGTTAGGACGACAGCACTGCGAGAGGACGCCAATCTGGTGCAGCGGATGGAGTCCTTCGACAACCCAGTCATGAAATTCATGGCTCTGCATGTCATTCCTCGACTTCCATTCGTGGTGGCCTTTTTACCTCAGCTGGCTGTCTCCTTCACGCCAGCTCGCTGCATGGAGCATCTGCCGCCGCCCAAGGCAGGCATGTGCCCATTTTCACCAGATATGCAAGCGAAGCCAAATCCACGGTCGCCTCTGGCCACAATCTCATGGATAAGCTTCTTGATACTCGCTGCATGCTTTCCATTGTCGGCTCACAGGTTTCTTTCAACTTCGAGCAGCAGCGTCCTCGAGTTCTCTCCAGTATTCCAGATATACGTTTGTATGATGGCAGTATCTATCAGTGGGCTTTGGGTCGTCGAGTCTTATAAGGCATCGTTGCTAGTGTCACCAATGAGCAGGTACTTTTTACCCAACCTCTGTTGATTTTGTTGCTGGCTGACCTTTACTTTAGCTCTCTTCCATGGATTCTAGCCTCAAACTACTGGGGGTGGGAAAAGACTTTACCCGTCTATCTGTGTTTTCATGTAATATCGAGCCAACATGCCGTACACTACTACACTCCACAGTTCATGACAGATCTCGGAGCAGCAAAGTCTCTACTGCCATGCTTGATAATGGTCTACAGTATCCCAATCATTCTCACCGCCCTGGGAATCACCGATAATAGGCTGTTCGACTGGTGGCCTGTCGCTCAATACACTTTCCCGATACTGGTATACATGAGCAGCAAATTACTTGGGGCAATAAAAGCCGTTCCTCAAGGCGTGGAAGTTGTCTTCACCAGCGTCGACGTCCCCTACCAGCGACGGTTCTTTACCACCATTGCTGTCGTTTCCAGCGCTGTGCACATCACCCTAATTGGGAGCTACAGTGCTGCTCTCTTCAACGAGGGCATTGTTAGCCTGCTTTCGCCACCACTTGGGAGGGCCCTTGTATCTTTGACCAGCCTTACTGTCGCGTGGTGTATGTACATGACATGGGAGCTGCGACGGATATCCGCTACCGAGGTTCCCCTGGCCATTACCTGGGCAGTCGTACTCATAAAAACAGTGCTTCTTGGTCCCGCAGCCTCGCTAGCGGGTATCACTTGTTGGTCCAAGGTTGAGTTGGAAAAGTCGACATCGGTGCAGCCATTGGTACAGAAAATCAAAGAGAAGTCTTACGCCTGAGACTCTCATATCTTGAATGACATAGTCGGTTCCAATTTGTTTTACTAATGCAGGGCAACGTTCAAGACGGGATCATATCTGGGAAGATACAAGAGTGGTGAGAAGATACCAAGATTCAGGCTTAGAGGTGGTAAAGAATGTTTTTGATCTATATTTGCTTCTACTAGAACCACTCCTTCGTTTCACATCCAATTGTGGTCCCCATGATGGGACAGCGCTAAGCCACTTTGCTCTGCCGTCAGATTATTGATAACATCAAGTTGCATTCTCACCGATTCTTCCGGAGTCAACAACCTAGTGAGATCCGGATTCACCTTCTGGAACATGTGTAGCGCCATTTCTAACACCTCTGGGGTCGGGGCCATATCTCGGGCTATACATCGCATATGGTCTGTGGTTAGCCTCGGCGGAACCATCAAGAGACAAATTTGCGGGAAGTTGCTTACTTCCGTCTGTGTCAACCCATCCCGGGCTGAGTGCCAGAGTCTTGATCCCTTCTCCCTTGAGCTCGGCAGCGTACTTTGACATGACAAGGTTCATGGCAGCCTTGGTGACGGTGTATCCAATGGTGACGGTGACGCCACACTTGCGGGTAAATTCAGCATCACCCGTCGGAGAGGTGATGTAAATGATCTTCTTCAGTTCGCCTTTGCGAACCAGGGGAAGAAAACGATTGATGGAATTTATAGCCCCAATCAGGTTAACGCTCATCTACTGCCCATATCAGCACAGTCACCCATCTCACTTAAAGAAGAAGAAGAGTCGGGGTGGTGGGAGTGGTAGAGTGAGAAGGAAACGCACAGGAGCATCAATCTCGTTCTTGAGCTCCTTCTCTTTTCCCAAACTACACATCGTAAACTGGTCAGTCATGCATTGTCTCAGCTTTTCCCAGAGTAGGATTGCCCTCACAATGCTGAGGTTGGGTAAAACCTCAAGTCAAGCCCAGGATGGCATGCGTTGCTGATGAACACGTCTAGCTTGTTCTCAGTCAACTGTCCCACTTTGGTAGCCGCCTCAGAGAGACTTTGAGCATCAGTGACGTCGGCCTTGATTACGTGAAGATTGCCTCTCTCAGAATCAAGTTTGCTAAGTTCCGCGCTTGGCTGGCTCCTGATAAGGGCGAAAACCTGGTTGCCCCCATCTGCAGACTAATATAGCATAATGGTGTCAGTTTGACACTACCCCTGGGAAACAGGTGGAAAAAGAAAGATACTGTGGGCTACACACAAGCTGTTTGGCATATTCAAGCTACAGCAGATGAATTATCAGTAATTGTGTTCCATGATACGTTGATGTCTATAAAAACGTACCCCGATGCCGCGGGAAGCGCCTGTGATAGCCCACGATGGCATGGTTTAGACTTTGGAGGTCACCAGAACGAGAAATCAAGAGAAAAGAAGAAGTACCGTCGTAACTTTTGCAATCCCATCAGTATGAGAAGCTGGAATAATATTTGACTGTGAAAATTATAACTATTACGTCATGCTCTCAAACCATGGCAATCATATCCGAGCTATCACGTCCTTGCTATTGCACCATACTTTGTGTAACAGATACACTGTCCTCTGGTTGGTCAACAAGAAACAACAATGGAAAGTCGAATCGACCTAAAGATAGAAATCTTCTTGTCTTAAAGACCACTGGGGTTGTAGTACAATTACTTCATGAATCTTCGATGCCTAGAGTTCCATCGCTACCTACTATACCCCTTATAGACAACATGGCGTTATCTCGCAGCTCCATTCAGGCATTCGCCAACGTCGCTCTCCTGTTCGCTATGCAAATACTGATCCCTGCCGGTTTGATTGTCGCGACACCCAAATACTCATGGTTACGATATCTCGGATTGGTGTTCATCAGCCTCTCTGCCTATCTGATATTCCAGCTGGCGCCGAGCCTCTCCAATAGCATCTTCCATAATAGCTTCTTGGCCTGCGAAGGAATCCTCGTGGTCGCGCACTGCACAAACCTGCTGCTCATCCTTCAGGATGGCGGCATAACCTGGAGCGACCTGCAACGCCACAGCGGAAAAGCGGGGACAACGCCTGGTTCCTCGTCGGAAACGACCCCCTTCTTGCGCAAGCTGGTGCACGGAGCCCGCCTGGTCATTAGTCTGCGGGGCGTGGAGACGGCATGGGAGACCAAGAATACCCCACAACACCCCTCCTCGCTCGGCCACGGTGGCGGCAGCCGTACAAGGTTCCTAATCCGCCAGGGGTCTATCTTGGCCTGGCAATACCTGTTCCTCGATGTCATGCTTGAGGTCACCATGCGCGAGCCACGCGAGAATACGGACAAATTTTACCGCCCCGGGATAGAGTACGAGTATTCCGATTTGACGGGAGAGCAATGGTTCATCAGGGCGTTCACGCCCTTTGTTTCCTGGTTTGTGGTCAGCCGCTTGCTTCTCGACTCGACTTGGCGCGCCCTATCCATCCTATCTGTGGGATCAGGCCTGGCCAGCCCTCGGAGCTGGCGGCCATTGTTTGGGAGCATGTGGGAGGCCTACACTCTGCGTAATTTCTGGGGGTGAGTCCATGACGGCACGCCTAATTACGGAGTAATTCACAAAGAGACTAACCCCTACTCCAATATAGCAAGTTCTGGCATCAAATACTGCGCTGGCCTTTTACTTCCAACACATACCTTCTGACCCGCAGGATCCTGAAACTGCCGATTCCCTCCCTTTTGGATCGCTATACCAACAACTTCCTCGTTTTCCTTTTGTCAGGCATCCTGCATGCTGTTTCTGCCAACATAATGGGTCTATCGGCAGTGGAGTCTGGTTCCATTCCCTACTTCTCATCCTTTGCTCTAGGCATAATGCTCGAAGATGGAGTCCAGGCCCTTTACAACAAACTTCACGCTAACAACTCAGATAAGGAGAGGAAAACTGCTAATTGGGAGAAGGTTATAGGGTTCAGCTGGGTTGTATTTTGGATGTCCCTAACTTCTCCGTGGTACATGTGGCCGTCGCGTCGTGTTGTCGCAGGTGGAGCACCGTGGGTCCTGCCATTCAATCTGACGAGGAAAATCGGTATGCCTATGATGTGGGGGTTGTTGGGAGCCTCTGGGATCTTTGTGAAACGGGTATTTGGAACTTCCTTGTAATCCTGTATATCCCTCTCAAAACAGTTTAGTAGACAAGGGTCCGTTTTCGTATGCTGGACCCTTATCTTTCTACTTCGCGGGAGTGTGCCGGGTCTTGGCAATCCTTTTCGGACGAACGCGCGTTGCGCAATCTTGTGGAAGAGAGAACGCACGAATAAAGGAAGTGCGGGGTGGCGTCATAGTAAGAGCGGGTAAATAGCGCCGTTGCACCAGCTGCTAAGTAAGTTACCAGTACAGGAGGCTAAAATCTCACTGCATTATCTCTGTAAAAGGAATAGAGTGGAGTGAAATTGTTTGATGAGGGTGGGGGCGCGGGCCGTGGATTTTACTAAGCTAAACAAGTTCATATTAGGTACATTCTCTCTACCCATGGCTCAGCAGTCCTAACCCTACCCTCATCTCTTTCTTGGCAACCCTACCCCGAGCCATTTGCCAGATATAGTATCGATAAGTATAGTAGGTATCACTCCTTCCGGCAATGTCCCTTGTATGAGGAAGCTCACTGCGTGGAGTTACATGGAGGCTGCCATCCTTCTATGCCGCTATGATGAAGTAAGCGATGAAAATAATACCCGATTGCCACTGTGATAAAGTAAGCGATGAAAATAATGCCCGATTGGTGTATGCTATGGGTGGGCTGAGGGTAACACTAGCTTTCCACGGACTGTTCTCTTGATGTTAGCATGAGCTGGGCGTTAAGGTATACTACCCGGAACCCGAAGGCCTCACGAAGAACAAACACTTACTGTTGACGACCATTTTGACTATTCGTTCTGTCCGATATCAACCGTAAAGATCCAATGGCTACCGAGACTCGTAGCCAAGATGGGTGCTGGTCTTGCAGGCTCCGGAAGAAGAAGTGTGACGAAAGGCGACCTATATGTACGGAATGCATGTGCTTGGGACTTGATTGCCACGGATTTGGTACAAGACCGACCTGGATGGACCGTGGTACTCGACAAAAGGCACAAGCAGCAAAGATGAAGGAGAAGCTTGCACAGCTGACCAAGAACCGACGGCACAAACAGGCGCGAGCCCAAAACGATTGGGTAGCTAAGCAGCCCCCAAACTCCCACGCGGAACGCTCCACCATTCGAACCGAAGCTCCCGATGCTTCGGACAACATACTCATCGACCATGAGCACAGCTCTCCTACACAGACATTTGGCGACAGGTCCCAGGATGAGCATGCAAGGAGTCAGCCTGCAGAAGTTCTTGAGGAGGATGGCCAAAGCACAATGGTCGCAGATACTCTGGCTTCATCGGATGATTCCGATTCACAAAGGATATTCGATGATATGACATTTTTATCCGGATATCCTGTTACTCTTCCTCACTCGGGGGATGCCGATTTCCAGACAAGTCTCGAGGACATGGACTTTCTCTCTGAGCAAAACTTCGACCTACCAGAGCTTGAATCCATCCTGACAGCCAACTTACACATGGAACAAAGTACGGCTGGGCTGGGTGTCGCGGATGACCTTTGCGGCGCCTACCTGTCGCCGCCCGAGAGTCAAATCAGCACAGCGTACCCATCGCACGGGACTTCTTCATTCATGCTCCCCATCACCGACATGGAGGACGCCATATTGCTAGCCTACTGCATAGAGAAGGTTTTCAACTGGCAGTTCCCGTTCTGTTCGACACCTCTGAGTGGTTTTAGCCAAGGGTACTTCTTATGGCTCATGTCCAAGTCACGACCCTTGTACCTGGCATCTCTCGCATTGAGCATCTCGCACATGAGCAATCAAAGAGCGGTAGAAGGCCCTTACACAAAACTACGGTACGAAGATCATGCCGGAAGATACAACTTGGCAACGGAAGAGTTTCATCGCAACCTGAGAACGCCCAAAGCTGTCGATGACATATCGATGTTGGCTTGCACTGTTTTACTCATCTCCTCCAGTGTAGGTCCCTCGAAAGCTTTTCTATCATCGTAATACAAGTAACTGACACACCCTGGACAGCTTCTTCACAGTGGCAAAGTCGACTGGACCTCCCACCTGAGAACGGGCACGTCGCTAATTGCCCCTTGGATTGCCCAGATACGGCATGACACAAACTTGGTGTCTTCCAAATCTCCCGAGGAGTCGTCGAGAGATTTCTTCATAGGTTCAATAATACGTATTGATATTTTATCGGCAATCAACCAAGATAGTGCTCCAGGACTTTCCAACAACTACAAGGAGTGGTTCGCGTCGACCGGCCAACGATTATCTCTCGAAACTGTTTGCGGCTGCAGCAACTGGATATTCGAAGTACTTCTCGACGTTTACTCATTGCGAGACTGGAAGAAGAAAACAAGAGCAGCAGGCCTGCTCAGCTTGTGGGAGTTGACCTCCAAAGCAAACACGATCCAGGTAGATCTTGAGAAGAGGATAGCCAGCAACATGATGGTCTTGAGAAAAAGCAAAGAAGACCTCGAACAGCACAATATCAGACACCTGCATTCTAATGCTCAGCGCCAATACGATATACACGTTATCAACCATACCTTTGCCTGCGCCGTATCTGTTCTTCTGGAGGTCATTGTGTCCGGTGCGTATCCGCGACTGCCAGAGGTCAAACAGAAAGCCGGGCGCGCGCTCGGCGCCCTGGCTGATATAAAGAACGACGCTCGGCTTCTCGAGCTACTCGCCTGGCCACTCTTCGTCGTCGGGTGCGTCGTCGAAGAGGAGCGACACGGCTTCTTCCGTCAAATTCTTTCAGGCCAGCTGAAAAACTCCGTTAGTCTCTGTGGTCTCCTCGATTTACTCGAAGAATGCTGGAAATCAAGAGCGTCGGGAGAGGTTCGAGACGAAAATTTTGATTACTCGCATCTACGGATTCACAATTCGAGAAATGTTCTTATTGTATAATTGTAGAATCCACGGCGCACTGGTTTTAAGATCAGGAAGAAAGAGATGTTTCAAGCGATTGATAGAGATATATTATATACGTTCAAAATGATGTAGAGAGCTACGAGACCATGATAGCTGGACTATACATGGTATGATCCAGAAGACGGCATATAATAGCCTACTGTAATGATATGATTCAAGCTTTATCCGTCAATCGTTTAATTCGTTTATTGTTTAACTTTTGTATCAAAATTTTGATTGTGTATGTTTGCATGTGTTTAAGCCAATACGGTTGTACGTGTTGACCAGGTATCTCGTACAGCTGCAGTGGGTGACACATGAGTCAAGAAAGTACTTGAGTCAAGAAAGGCCATGGGAGGCCTGATCTGGACTAAGCAAGGCCGGATGAGGACAGATGTTCAACATCACGCCAGATGTGGCCTCTGCGGGCCGTACGCCCCAGTAAGAAGGCGGGGTAGCATGTAGGATCGAGTGGGTTACACGGGACAAGGGAGGGTAAGCGCATGCGAGGGCGAGGGGCTCGTCTCGTCTTGCCTTGCAGGTAGACAGTATTTGTGTGAGTCGTATCGGACTACTTCTACGGACCTGTTATTCCACGTGTAACCCCGTGAAGATTGTCCGGCCTTGACCTATGCGAGCCCAGTATCTTCCCAGTAGCTCCAAGTAATGGGAAAAGAGCAGTTCCGAGCTCGTACCGGGTGCCTGACGTGTCGGGACAGGCATATCAAATGCGACGAAACATTGCCCAGGTATGGTTTGCATCGCGATACGTTACAGCAGCACCAAGACCGTTCAGCTTGCTGACTACACTTTTAGGTGTAGAAACTGCTGCAAATCCAATCGGGTCTGTGAGAGAGGGATCCGTCTGAATTTCATCGACATCCAGACATGCACGTCACAGTCCGGTCTCATAGATCTGCCTCCAGGCACTAAGCTCAAGTTCCACGACGAGTCGCGAGCCATCGCGTCAGGGTACGCTGTTGACCCACAGAAGGAAAAACATGTCCACACCTCGCACACGGAGCCTAAACAGCAGACAGGCCTATCCCAAGCGAGCTTACCCAAAGATGGCCCGATTCTGCCCGTGAGGGTAGCGTCTTGTGCAGAGCAGACCGCGCTAGTCCCAGCACAGTGCAGCGCCTTGCCCTCGTTGCAGGTCATTACCAACCATGATGAGGGTCTTCTGATAGAGATATTTCTTGGCAAGGTGGCGCCTTGGATGGACTGCCTGGTTGCGAGCAAACCCGTGGGTTGAACAATCAGATCAATCACCCTCTGTCATGACTGACCAGATCAAAATAGTTTACCAATATCACGCCCTTTTACGCTCTAAGTCAACCCGCACTTTTCAACACGGTAATGGCTTGCGGGGAGAGATATTTGATGCCTGACGAGGAATCAATTTACTATGAAAAGGCATGCCAGGGTATTGAGCTCGAGGTAGCCAAGCCCAATGCCGATCATCTCCTGTGTGTCACCATCTCAGCCTTACTACATGCATATGAAATTATGGGTGACGGAGCCAACAACAAAAAGAGCCACTCGGATCGCATACAGGCGTTGATTGGACACGCCGACCTCAGCGGCAGAAATTCACGTCTGGCTGGTGCCTGCTTCTGGGCATACAACCTCAATTCGGTATTAGATAGTCTCGCCCACAACTCGAGGCTGACTTGCGATGCCGACAAAATGGACATGGCACTGAACGCGGTCCAAGGTACGGGTAGTACTAACAACGGTATACTTTGCTGCGACGAAGACGTATGGGCTTACCGAATGCTGTCGATATGTGCGAAGGTTGCCGCACTTCATACAGAGGTAGCACACGGCATATATGACGATTCGATGGATCGTCTCAGCCAGGACCGTGAGCAGTACAAGGGCTGGTGCGACGATTGGGCCAGTAACGTGCCGAGATCGATGATGCCGCTGTGCTACATCCCACCTCCAGACGAAGATTCAAAATCAGAAACTACATCGCACTTTCCTCAGGTCTTGTTCGTTGGGTCCTCAGCGACGGTCGCGCGCCTGCTTTACCACATCTCGTGCTTGCTGCTTGTCAGGATCGGAGTTGCCGAACGCTCAGCCGAGGCGCAGGAAGCCCACTGCAGACAGATAAGGCACGCTATGGATATATGCGGAATTGCTTCGCAGGGTGAAGATAAGTATGGGACCCTATTTCTCGATCAAACCCCATGAACTGGTTTTTTCACTTTTCTTATTTTTGGTGGATCAGAAAATGCTAACAACATGTTTGACATGAAACAGAGACTTTGGCTACGTGACTATCAGTTGTCTTTCCATTGCTATTCAGTATCTAGTGGAACCTGAACTCAAGAAAGAAGCTCGTGAAATTCTAGACAGACTTACTCAAAACACACCGTGGAGGTGGTGAAAGTTTCAATCTCGCAAATGAAAACAATTTTGGAAATCTCATGCGCCGTGTACATATCTCATCATATCTCACCTCTCATTGTGAGATCAGTCTAATCTCCGCTTACTTTGCGCTACCATTCCGGAAGGCATGGTGCTGCCTATGCTTCATGCTCCCTTGTTTCATGCCCATATGGCGGGTGAAACAACGTTTATACCTGATACTGCCGCCATGTAAATACCTAAAATGGCATTCATGAGGAAAATGCGCCCACCCGACTTGCGATCACGCAAGTCTAGTGAGATGATGCTCCAAGGAACTGAGGCTGACCAAACAGCGATGCCAAATATCCAGACAAAGAAGCCTGCCTGTGCTTCAGCCGCCGCCACTACAAAACAGACGATTTGCGCAACGCCCAGGACTGTCAGGCCAGCCTTCAAATAGTCGCCCAGGAAAATGGCTAGTGACTTGACGCCGGCCTTTTTGTCATCAGGTCGATCCTATCAGGAGACTAACGTTAGATACAAATCTGCAAGTGAGAGTGATTGAGGGCTGGGGTGATGATAACATATATGAATACCCTCTCAAATAAAAGGTACTTACCTGGGAAGCATAAATCAAGTCGATGTACACGAGCCAACAGAAGATTGCGCCAAAGAGACTGGCGGGCAGTAGTCCCGCATCGCCGCTGTGCGGTCTCACGGCCATCCATGGGGGCAGCACGCACATGGCCATGGTCAGACCCAGGACGACCTGCGGAGCCCAGATGACGCGCTTGCACAAAGGATAGATGGTGGAAAGTCCCCATATGGGGACCATGATTGCCGTGACATCTGCGCCCAGTATCTTATACGTCAAGGCAACAGCGGCGGCGAGACCAATGATAAAGACGATAATTGCCTCGGTGAGGGTAACCTGGCCCGAGGGGAGAGGGCGGTCCCTTGTGCGCGCCACTTTTGCGTCAAAGTCGCGGTCGCAAATATCACTAGCCATATTAGATCAATCCCTGTTGCTACTCTTTTGGGGAAAAAACTTACTTCCACAGACAAAAGACGCAGTGTGTGATTTGATAGGTAGCAAAGATGCCGAGGAACGCACGTCGGACCAAAGCAAACGGCAAATCTTGCTGCATGGCGTAGAAGAAGAGCGCGAGCCCTGTAGGATGTTAACAAAGTCGTAACATGTCTGAAAAAGTAGAAGAAGACGTGCATCCAATGCTCACTGTCGACAATCCCTCGATTGTATGGAGGCGGAACAAGCGCCACACCCCCCGAACCAGGTCATGATTATTCTTGTTGACCTTTGGAGCCATTTCTGCCAAATAAAACCGGACAGGATTTGAAAGACACTGTAACGAGTCGTAAAGCAAATATCCAAGAGATGTTGGATATAGCTGTTCTGACAGGTCTTTTATGCCTATTATTATAGGGACATGGAGATATCGGGCACAACCGCTGTAATAAGGACTAGTCCACTACTGCTGAATTCGGAATCCCGACCTGGTATTTTGTCCACTATGCTGAACTTGGAATCTCTGACCTAGTTGCATGCTTACAAACTCGTTTCGGACTGCCTTGTACGCTGCTCCTGTTTGTTCCTACTGCCCCGCGTTCACGTGCTGGCTTTTCTCGGTAGGGAGGATCGTGTTTTACCAATTACCGAGCCCTTCTTTGGTGTAGGCATAGTGGTTGAGATGGTGACTCTCAAGTCATTGACATTGTTTTCTGATGTAGAATGAAGCTCGAACACAGCTAAAATGAAGGCTCTAATTTAATGGCATACGAGGCGCAAACGAATAAGACCAATTAATCCATAACATGTGTGATAATGATAACGGCTCTAGATTGGTGAAAAAACTACATGACTCCTAACTGATGAAATAACTATGCCTCGTATCCATTCTCATATATGATCTATACCTGCTAAATAGTACCCACTACAATCTCAGGAAGGAAACGGCGGTAGGAATAAACATGGCTGTCTTATCCTACACCCTGCACTCTTCAAGTGAAGCTTGTATAACCTGGCCAAGCTCCAAGACCTCGGGAGCCGTCATGATGGAGAAATGGTCGCCTTGCACTTGGCGGTATTCTACCGCGTCACCAACGAGAGCATCCCAGCCGTTGGGGCCCCTGTCACGTGGCTTAGGATAGAACCAAGCGTCCAGGCCTGGAGGCAGCTGATCGAAGGCGGCCTTGGGCAGGACATCCTTGGTGGCCCAGATGACAAAGGTGTGCTCGGGCCGTAGATGAGGCAGCATGGGAATGGGGATCAGGCGGCTGAAGCACGTGACGGTGCCCAGCATATGGCGCTTGAGGCGTGCGGCCTCGGGGCTCTCAGCCTTGTCCGCGAAGTTGCGCTCGATGCCGCTGAGCATACCGATCATATCAATGATTTCCATGGTTGGTTCTGCCACCAGTCCAGAGGGTGAGGGGTGCAGGCTCGGCGCTGGGATGTCGATGACCACCAGACCCAACACGCGTTCACCCGCATCGAGCAACCTTCGCGCCACCTCATACGCAAACACGCCGCCGCCAGACCAACCGCCTAACAGGTACGGCCCACGCGGCTGTTTGGACCGCACCGCCGCCAGGTACAGCGCCGCGGCCTCTTCGAAGCTGCAGGTAAACTCGGCTGGGTCGCGTACCCAGGGCGACTCCACGGCGTAGACGCCATCTGCTACGTCTAGCAGCTTGGGTAGGTGCATGTAGGCCGCTGCAGAGCCAGCGCCGTCGGCCATCAGGAACAGGGGCGGGCTGGAAGACGTGTGCCCTTGTGCTTGCATGAGGACGACGTTGCATTCGCGCTTGGTGGTGGGCAGGCCGTTCTCTCCGTTCAACACCACTGCGCCGTTACCATTGGCGGTTGCTGAGTCTGCCCTTTCACGCTTACGCTTGCCCTCCATCGTCCGTAGTTGGCGTTGTGCATCCCCGAGCGTGGGATACTCCAGCAGGAACGACGCGTTCAGCTCGACCCCAGTCTCCGCCTTGATGTCGGCTAGGATGGAGAGGCACATGAGCGAGTCAACACCAATCTCGGCAAAGAAGGTCGATGGCTGGAGTTCGCTCTCGTCCATGCCGGTTTCCTCCATGAGACGCTCGACCAGTACCGACTCAATCGTCTTGTGATGGCCGTTGGTACCGTTGATACCGTTGGTGCCATTGGTGCCGTTGGTGCCGTTCACGGGTGGCTCCGCCGCAATGGATCGGTTACTCGTAGTAGTGGCCGCAGGTTCGACCTTGCCTAGGATTCGGTGCAGCGTTGTCCGTGGCATCTTGCGGAAGCGCGCGCCTTCCAGGAAGCCCACGATGCCATCAGTGTTAAGAATATAGACATGGCCACGGTAGTCATCGGACCCTTCCGTATGCTCGATATAGGCATAGCTCTGGTACGCGACGTCTGGAGAAAAGTCCTTGGCCACAATCTCCATACGCTCCATATGTGTTCCGATGTATACATAGTCTCCGCTGCTCATCGGGTTGCCGTTCAAGAGAAAACCGGCCAGATGGGTGAGAGCATCGATCCAATACGGCGACAGTGTACACGACTCACTGGCTTCCTGCCCCTTTGGAAGTCTAATCGTGGCCAGAGCTTCGGTGAAGTCATTGTTCACAATGGCTTCCTGTACACCTTCATACTGCCCAGTGTAATCCATAAGGTTCGCAAACAGCCGGTAGAAGAGCTTGCCTTGAAATCGGTTCGCGAGCCCTACCGCAGCGTCTTGCATCAGTTTGGAAATTTTGGGCAGCATCACGCCCAGTCGTTGCTGTCGCGTCATGTCGAAGTCCTGCTCATCTCTCTCGCGAACGCAACACTTTGACGTGATCAAAGAGGGCTTGGCTTGATCCATAATTGAAACGGCAAAGTCTCTCGAATTTCTTGGCTTACTGACGTTTACCTGAATGACTGGCTGAGAGTCAGGTTGGGGCTTGATGGGATGATCAATCTGGAGATCGAGGACTGAAAACAATGGAAACTGCGCCTTCATTGACCCGCCAGTATGCACATAACGGGCGGCTGTGAGGGCCATCTCGGCGAATACTCCAGCAGGGCAAACGGTAATACCCGACAGCTTGTGACCTTGGATCATTCCGAGCAGGGACGGCTGTGATACCATGGCCGTGAAGGTGGCCGATTGTTCTTTACCGTCATCCTCCTGCTTCACAAGATGATGTAAGCACGAGGAAATGAGCTGTACATCTTCATGCTTGCTGCCAGCCGTAAAGGGCATCCAGAAGTTCCTCGTATCGAAAGAGTATGAAGGCAGGGGGATGAGTGAGACGCTGTCGATGAAATGGCTGTGGTACTCGCGCCAGCCGACTGTCTTACCAGCCACGTAGAGACCTGCCAAAGCTGATGCGACAGACTTCCACCCGCCGTCTTCTTTTGTCATACTAGTCATGGCATGACTCGAGGCCACGCTAGTGTTTGAACGTACAAGTCCCAGGCATACCGGAGCGGGTCCGATTTCTAGCCACAGCGTAGTCGAATCGACAAGACCCTGAGAGACACAGTGCGATATGGCTTGGGTGAACTTGACAGCCTCCCTTGTTTGCCGTGCGAGATAGCCGCCATCAAAGTGTCGCTGCTCCGCGCCCGTCAAGGTCGAGATAACCTTGATTTTCGGAGTGCCAAAGCACACGCCCCGGGCTGCTTCACGGATTCCCGGAAGTATGCTGTCCAGTTGGCTCGAGTGCATGGCGTACGGAACATTCAGCAACTTGCATTTACACTTGCTTGCACTGAGCAGTTGCTCCTCGATTTCTGCCAGCCGTTGTCGCGGGCCGCCCAGTACTACCATGCCCGGGCTGTTGTGGCAAGCTAT